CATCTGATATATGACAATAATGCCAAAGGGTGTTTTTCAGGCAAAGAATTACGAAATACACTTGGCTGCATATGTGGGTCTGCTTGTGGTTCCCAACAGCCCTTTCAGTAAACAGGATATAGACACCTTTATCAGTGAGAGGGTTAGCTATTGTATTTAGTTTGGGTAAATTACTGAATATCAAGCTGGACAAAAATTTATTCATATGACTTCAATACGTGATGACTTATATTTTATATACCCTATATGCATTTTTGTTATATCTTTTAATGGATTCCTGAAAGATTTTCAATTCAAATTCCTGAAATGATGGATTACCTACTTACAGGCCAGTCCTATTCCTTCATTCTATCTCTGCTTCTTTCTTGCTGCCCACTGCATTGTACCATGGCACAGTCTGACTGATCGCCCTAATTGCAGTAAAGATTTAAGTGGATATAATTTCATAAGCTTTCAAGCAGTATAAAGTATCATTTTTTTGTGGAGAGCTGAAAAAGCAATTTGAACTTTATAAATGAAATACAAAGCAAATCTGACTGCCCTCAAATCTGTAATGCTGTAGGAAGCAATGGACTTCAATTCTTAAGAACTATTCAATCAGATTTTCAAAGAACAAAACATGTTGTCCAGATGCATGTAGAATTTTGACTACTAAATTTGCTTTTCTAAGAGCCCACTTGACTTGTCTACAGTCTTATTAGCTATCTTGAAAAATTATTATTATACCATAGTTTCATCCTAGGCTGTAGATTGGCTGTAATGCTGTTGCTGCGTATTGGATTATTAAACCTTGATGGCTTTTGTAAAAATAGTGATTGTTCCAATAAGAAAATTAAGATGAAATATTCTTGGAAAGAGACAAGTGAAACTCATTCTCTGAGATGTAAACATGGACATCTGAGATCTAAGTAGTTGCTATACCTACACCATAGTCCGCACTGGAAAACAGACCCTTCACTCCCAACACATTTAAACCAAATCCACATCTTAATCTGTCACTAAAACAAGTCTTATCTTCAATTTACTAAATTTATAAACTAGGATAATACTTTTTACTGAAGAGTCTATAGCTTCAAAACTCATTTTGATATGCTCAAAACAATGTTTGTGTACAAGTCGTTTTCTAGCATTAAGATATTTGTTGTCAAGCTTGCCACTCAAAATAAAACCATGGATGAGCAAGTAAAACTGTATTGGGATATTTTAATTAAAAATATGGAAGTTGCTCTATCATTTCTATGTGGAAAGTTTGTTTCTATATTAGTTATAGAGTTTTTATCATATTCTTTGTGCTAACAGCTCAAAGAGCCTGGTACAGAGATACCCATGAGACCCAAGTGACAATTAGTTTATTTAAAAATGAAGGACAGACTGTTATTGGTGAATATGTATAAAGTTCCTGCATAATTACAACTGAAGCATCCTTTATTAGAAGCATTTCTCAAATGACCTAAGCCCTTTCCCTGAGGTATCAAGAAGAAGGCCATGGTCTTTGATACCAAGGATGCGTGTACATAAGATCAAATTGAACCTCTTGATCCTTGTTCCTGATAAAAATTAGTGACTCCAGAAAATGAAAGAAGCAATATTCATGGGATAAATTGTTCTTCTAACTGTATATGAAAGAACAGAACCTATTAATGTTTGGGTAATTGGTATCTGACCCCACTCTTTAATGCCAACTATCGTGCGTCTCTAGAAAACACACTGTGAGGCAGTTCCGAAAAACAACAATTCTTGAATATATCTCAGTTAGAGCCCTGTATCCTATTTACACGGACATATTCTTTTGACATATCAGGTCAAAAGAAACTTATATATCCTCTTTAATTGTTACACTTAAAGCCCAAACTTGTTATATGAAATCTGCCATTGATAGCTCTCCTTGGATATTCCTATCCTTTATTTTCTACAAGAAGCTTTATCATTAAAAGGCAAAACCAGTACAGTTAAGGAAGAAGAAATATGTGAAAAGAAAATCTGATCACATTTCTGACTCTGAGGTTATATTACCTCCATTTTTCTAAATTTCTACTGCTTAAATCTGGGATGGGAAAAGGAAAATACCAGCCATTTTCTCAAGATTATCAATATGTTTTTCTTTCTCTCAACCATCTCTATCTTTCATTGTTTTGCCTTTATTTCATATGTCCAGTAGAATTATCCTTACCAGGATAGATTTCTCTATGGTAATTTAAGTTTTTTTTTTTTCTGAGAATACTGAAATAATGACAAGATAAGGAGGATAGGATACACAGTGAAAATATCCGCAATATTTTCTTAGGATGTAAAAGATGTAAGCTTCTACTTCTCCTAAATATGGACTAGCAGTTTACTGAAAGTGGTTTATATCAGACCTTAGGAAACCTCAATGCCCCTTTCCAGGTTGGGTCCGTGCCACCTGTGAGTTAGGGACAGGCACATCTAAGCCACAGGTGTCAGTAGTCTTTATTTTTATACTATGACTGAAAAGCAAAGTAATGTACTGAACACTCAGGCCTGAACATTTTGCATGTTGAGCATATCTTAGTATCCCTTGCCACAGGAATCTAGACCACTATTGTCTGAACTTAACAGCTACAGAGAAAGGACAAAGAAGTTTTAGTTTCTCACATATTTCTTAAATTCACATTGGTAGGCTTTTATACCTCCTGTAAGGTAATTTTTAGATTTTAGTGCATCAGGAATATTGGCGTGCAGTTTTCTTGTATTTTGTTATCGGGGTAATGCAATCCCATAAAATAAGTTTGGAAGTATTCCCTCCTCTTTGTTTTTGTTTTTTTTTTTTTTTTTTTTTAAAATAGTTTGATTCTTATTCTTTATATATTTGGTAGAATTCACTAGTGAATCCATTATATTGGGCCTTTCTTTGAAGAGACACTTATTATTGTGGTCCAGTCAGTCACCTTACTCATTATTAATCTTATAAGATTTTCTCTTTTTCATGATTTAGTATTAATAAGTTGTGTTGACTAGGAATTTATACATTTCTTTGAAAATATCAAATTTGTTGGCATATAATTGTTCATAATACTCCCTTGTGATTTTTCATATTTGTGTGGTACCCATTGTAATGTCTTCTCTTTCTGACATTGAATTTTCTCTGCTTTTTTTTTAGCCTAGCTAAATATTTGTTGATTTTATATTTTAAAAACAGCTAATAGTTTCATTTATCTTTTTTAAATCATTTTTTTCTAGCTTCTTTGGAATATGTTTTCTGCTCCAATCTTTATTATTCCTTCTATTTACTTCCTTATGCCTTCTATTAACTTTGAAATTTGCTGTTCTTTTTCTAGTTCATTGAGTTGTAACATTAGGTTGTTTATTTGGGGTCTTTCATATTTTTTGATGTAGGTATTTTTTTTTCTATAAGTTTCTTTCTTAGAAATATTCTACTTTACCTAATAAGTTTTGGTATGCTGTGTCTTTATTTCCATTGTCTCAAAGCATTTTCTAAATTTTCCTTTCAATTTTTTCTTTGACACATTTGTTGTTCAGGAGCATATAGTTTCATTTCCTTTTATTTGTGAATTTTTGTTAGTTTGCCTTTTCACTCCCTAGCCAGAGAGCTGGGCTTTTTAACCCTAACTGCTGAATTCTTATATCACTGCAATCATATTTTGTGCCAAATAGGAGGTAGACAAAAATATAAAAAGGCAACAAAGATTCACTCTACCTGCTTAGAGCCAGAACTTCTCTGATCTGAATCATTCTCCCATCTTTAGAATTTTAAGTGGCTACAGGCCCAGGCTATAGACAATGTTACTATTGAAAATTCTTTTCCCTTCTCTTCAAGGCAGTAAAAGATCATTTCTGAACCTCTCCTTCCACATTGACATCCACTGACAGCTTTCAAGCTTCTCTGAGTCCAGGTTGGCAAGTACCACATAGTGTTATGGTTTAGATATGAGGTGCCCCCTCCAAAGCTCAAATGCAAGAAAGTTTAGAGGTAAAATTATTGGTTCATGAGAGTATCAACCTAATCATGCATTAATCCTCTGAAAAAGATTGACTGGGTGGTAACTGAAGACAGGCAGGGTGTCACTAGAGGTTGGAGATTGGAGCATGGCCTTGGGGTTTATGTTTTGTCCATAGTGAGGGGGGAGTGCTCTCTCTCTCCCTCGGCCCCTCTCTCTCCCCCTCTCTTTCTCCTGGTTCCATGTACTGAACTGCTTTCCTTCATCACACTCTTCTGCCATGATGTCCTACCTCACGTCAAGTCCAGATCATGTGGAGTCAACCATCTGTGGACTGAGACACTTGGAACCATGAGCCCCCAAATAAACTTTTACTCCGCTAAAATTATTCTTGTCAGGTCTTTTAGTCACAAATGTGAAAATGCTGACTAAAACACACAGGTTCATAAGAATGGAAAAGCCTCTTGCCGTTCCTATGGTTCTTCATATTCTGACACTCTCCCATCCATCTGCTAATTACTGTTTGATTTTTGGAGTCTTCTAATAACTGTTTAATACACCCATCCAGATTTTAAAACAGTATGTGGTAAAAGAATCAGGATAAGGTGTGCTTACTCTATCTTGTCTGTAATCAAAATTTTCATGATTTTACCTTAAAAACAGTGAAGTTTAAAGTTTTGTCTTCCTTGTACATAATAGATGTTTAGTGTACTAAACAGAATTTAGTCAATTTTCAAAGATTAAAGCATTAAATTACCCACCTTTTTAAATCTATTCAACAACAGATTTCCTAATTTACAGGATGACTGTAGTCCAGGGATGAAATAATTTCAGAGTATTTGTTTGATGAACGTCATTTTAGAGTGCTGCAGCCATGTCATGGAAGGTCTCATTGCAGTGTGCATCGCTAAATGAGGCCAAGTCATCAATAGACTCGGCAAATGACACAGCAGTCCCCATTGCCACACTAGCTGGATTTCAGAACTTGTACTTATCACTTTGACTGAGAAGGGAATGAGGAGTCGGGAAATCTATTTTCCACTTAATTTTTCTATACTGAGTTGTTCCTTCTTTTTCTCCTAGGAAATCTCCAAGATTTTACATTTCTTTTGGATGGTTGAAGGCTGCCAAACTCAGTGTTTCAATGTGCATTTCACATGACAAGTGGAGGATGCTCCCTGGAGGTCTCTGACAGAAATCAGCATGCTCAAAACGCTGCCAATGCCACAATAGGAAAGGCATACATGTCTGTGGAACACCGAGAGCTGCCAGGAACAGATCAGCTTGAGAGAAAAATGCTAACCACAACCCAACTTAGCTTCTATTTAAAGGGACCATTTGAGTAAGACATATTAAAAGGTTTATAAAACATGCAGAAAGTTGTTAGGGTCCAAGTTTTTGAGGTATTCTATTTATTTTTCTGTGGTTCTTGTCATAGTCTTATGTTGTTTTCTAAGGTATCTTGATATTTAAAGAAACATCATAACAGTGTATTATTCTCTAAAATTACAATCTCTGTGAAGATGGCAAATAGCAGGCTATGTGAAATTCCAAAGAAATTACTGTGAATGTGTCTACATGAAAAACACATTGCTGCTATATATGTGTTTGAGTTTTAAGAACAAATTAGCATTTGGCTTTACTGACACTAATTGTTATGCAACTGATGAAGTTGGTTATAGGTATGAGAAGAAGACACAGTAAATAAAATAACTCTATGACCTTATGTTGTATCATTCTTATTTATACAAAATCTGTATAATCATTTTGGACATATATGTACATTTCTTTTACAAATTCCTACAACTTTGCAAAATTCAAAACTTCTAGAGGGCAGCATTTTTATTTTCCCCGTATATGTAGACACATACTTTTGTTTATATTCATTTATGAATACATGTGTATTTGATGTATATGTATATATATATATATATACACATACTTATGTACAGTCATAAATTTAGAGAATATTATTTAAAAATATTTTCATAAAATACACATATGATTACAAAGTTGTTTTGGTCAAAAAATTTTGATTTGAGGCATATTTTTAACATGAGCAAAAATAATGTTTAAACCCCAAATAAAATAATCCTTCCTATGTATCACTAGCCAGTATTAACTTGCATACATTGATATATGAACACTAAAATCAGAAAAAGTAGAAACCTCAGTGTTGCTCTTAAATATGTGTATGGTCCTTATAAACAGTTGGAGGAGACAGCAATGTGTCTGGACATGTTTGGAATAAATAGAGAGGAACTCCTTCAAAATGTTCCCCAAGTATCCAGACACATTTTATGAAGTGCCATCTTTAATAATTCATGGTTTTAATTCGAGGCATTTATTACAGGGCTTGATATTAACATGAAATCTCTACTGGAAGCCCTATGTCTGAAGCTATTTATCATCTTGGCTTTTTTTTTTTAATCTATCAGAATGCTTTTCTCTGAAAAGCAAAAAACCTTAGGAGGGAAGGGAAACGTGGGATCAGGTAAGGTTTGTTGGACAGAAAAGAGTTATAGCTGAGGTAGTATTGGGAATTTCATTTTTTTTTTGCCAAAATACTATTTTAATTCAGGATTCAACTGGAGAAAAGAGCCAAAAACAAATGCCAGTCACTTTCAAGATTTGTTTAGGATTAGCACCACTGTGGGCGGCCTGAAATGACCAGTAGGTCAAATGACTATGATGCAAAACACGTATGAAACAGCATCAATATATGTATGTCATTTATTATGATACAAGGGCAATTGATGGTGAAATATTTCCCTTCTTTTCCCAAATACTTCCATTGCAGTTGACTGCAAGCATTAAAACAGACCTCAGGAAAAATCAGTCATCATGCTAATGATTGGATCCTGGAAATACACATACAAGATAAGGTATAACACTGTATTATTAAAGGTTATATTGCAGACTCAGCAAAGTGTTACATGTTTATAGCCAGCTTAAAACGGATTAAAGCCATCCATTAGCCTGCTACAGAAAAATTCTAATCACCTAGGAAGGTTTGCATTGGCAGACCACATTTGAAGCCTGTCACTAAATGGTACTATCTTGGCAGCATCTTGTCAAAGGATGTACTTATCAACTACGAATTAGGAAGCTGCCAATAAACCCATCATGTCTTTTACTCAAATCCTAGAAAGGTATATGTGTGTGTGTGTGTATTCCTTGCCAAAGTAGAAGGGAAATCAAATGCCATAACCCTGAGACGTCCCTTCCAATCCACACTGACTTCCTCACATGGGCTTGGGAACTGGGCAAGCAAGTGCTATCTACAATAAATATTATTTCCTGCATGTACACCAAAGCCACCTGTTCAAACAAAGCCAACAAATGATGTCAATGCTTAAGTGGCTTAAGCTATAAGACTCCTCCCTCCAGAGTGATAGGGAGGAGAGCATTACCTATGCATCTGGCCACCACTGGACTCTCCCTGTCATTGAGTTTCAGTAAGCCCTATATTTCTCGTAACAATTCGGGATTTTCTTTAGTCTCTCAGCAACCTACTCCACTTTCCTAGTGCAGCCTAGCTGTGGATAGAACAATGACACATCAAGACTGGGGTCACATTTTGATGGAAAATTATACCACATTATAATTTCCAAATGTTTGATCCCCAGATATTTTTAAAACATCCTGAATAGTTGTCTTTAATAAGTACTCTGCATATTATGGAAAACAAGGAAATTATTACCATTTTATTGAGAGTCAACCACCACTACACTTTGCCAACATCATCTTCCTGCATAGCAAATTCTGCTGCAGAGCCAAATTAATTTGTGTATTTTTTAGTATGGCTGAATTCATTTATATTTGCCTTTTAAAGCTTTCTTTGGAGACCTTTATATTTGAATTAACTGATTGGTGATCTACTTTTTACAGACTAGAAGATTGATAGAGTGAGCCAACAAGTACTTAAAAGACCACTTACTCTTCAGTCATGCAACAAAGTCAAGTTCTCCTTTGCATTCTTAAACTCAAACACATAACACACCCACAAGTAGAATACAATCTATGGTTCCATTTAAAATCAGAACCAAGAGGTTTATGGGTTATCCAGGAACACATCTGAGATTCTTTCTGGCTTTGCAAGCCCTCCTCAAGAAACACTTTGAGGAGCCTAAGATTTTATGAGATGCTATTAAAGTAAAGAACACAAAGTTTGTATCATGAGATTTATACCTCTCCATTATAATGAGTACTGGAAAGTTCTTTACCATGATACTTCAAGATGGACCCTAATTTTTTCTTTCATTTATAGAAGATTCCTCATTTTTCAAGCTTCCTAATTGCCAGATTTCCAGATAAGAAATGTGATATCTTTTTCAGATTCATTGCACCACCATCTGCTCAATTTCTCTCTCCCACCAATGCTTCAATGAGGTAGCCATGACCTGACTCTAAGTAATGCAGATAATATCTCATGCATGCAGTATTGTCATTCACACATGGTAACACTTCTCATACGTGGATGGCACTTTGTGCTGGTACTCCAATCTACTGTTAATGACAAGATATTTGACATAAATGAACTTGTGCTATAAATGAATTGGGAAGACCTTTCACAAACATAAATATTTGTGAACCAAGTGTAGGGGCCACCCACCACCTTCCAATTTTGAGTTTGAATTCTGATCCTTTTGTGTTATCACCTGGTTCAGCCTCAGGGATCCATCAACAAATATGCTTATCCCAAAATTTTACAGATACAATTCCCATTTGCATAGTATATAGGTTATCTGCAAACTTATAAGATTATAAATTAGAGGAAAATTATGTACAGGTATAAATTCTAAAGAGAAGACATTGAATTTGGTACCAATTCATGCTTAAGTACACAAAGAATACAGTTTTTTTAATACATGAATGAGGCATTTCTGCATGTTGCACCATTTATATTAATACTATGCTGCTTCTCTCAAGTTCATTTTGTGATAACAGCATGAAATGCATTTCATTAAGTTAAAATGTGGTAGTATTAATATAATGGCTGATGGCATCTCTAATTTGAGAGGCCTGCAGCGTTAGTTTTACAGAGGCATTTTCCTTAGCAACCAAAACAGAGCTGTAGAATATCTGTGGGATATTGCTTCTCCTCAGGCAAGAATTCATCCCTTTGGCCTAGTAGATTCTTTATAGGCTATAGAAGTATTAAACAAAACATAGCACCCTTGCCACTTCTTCCCAGGAAGCAACACTATATTGTCTCCAGTTTTGCAAAAGCATCTTCCAGGATTTTAGTACTAATTAGGTTAATCGTGGAACAGAGGATGTTGGGAGCAAATATGCCTAGATAAATTTTTATGAAAAAATAGTTAGATGTCTCATAACTTAAAAGAAATTTTTTTCTTTTGCATTATTCCTAGGACTTATTAGAATGAAGAACATTCCAGCACTGTGTATCCATAATATTAATAAAAATTTAACAAGCAATCAGAATCAATATTCTTTGGCGAGTAGATGTTTTAAAATTGCCTCAACTCCTGCAAAGGTGGGACTGGCTATGTAAAACATCATCATGAACAATTATGAACTCAAAAAAATTATTTGAAGAAAATGTGAAACAGCTGAAAGAAGCAACATGTGTCTGTAGTGTACCTATTGTATTTACCTGAGGACTTTCTAAGGAATGGCAATTTTTACTTGGCATAAAAATGCACAATACTAGCTCAGCTTTACAATCTGTTTTAACAAGCTCTGAGCTCCATGGCTGTTTTAGCTACATTTGTTGTTTCAAAACAAAGGAAAAAAAAGGAAAAAAATTGCACCATGGTATAGATACTATTTTTCTTCTTTTTAGAAAATTGAAAAAAAAAACTGTCTTATTGAGCCTTTCAAAACTATCTTGAGCAACAACTATTTAGAAGTATTGTATATAGGCTACTCTAGACTTGGTGATAGGCATGGGCCAATAGGAAGTGTTCTTTCTTCCTTTCAATACCCCACAGATGCCTTTTAAAAAGTGGTATTTCATAAAAGGCACTCGTAGTATATGTCATTATGGAAGATCCAATAAGAGAAGGACTAGAGCTGGCTTTGGTGTTTGGGGAAGTTTATTTATATACAAATTAGAGATAATTTGGCATTTAGTATTTCCTTGAAGAATGACAACTACTGTAACAGAAAAAAAAGAGAAGAATTATTTATTTGGCTTATTGTATCCTTCATTTCAAGGATTTCTGACTTTTTTTTGAGTCTCTGTCTCTTTCTTGAAATAATATTTTGCTACCTGTATTTGTTCTCTTATTTCTTTGTTGGAGTGATCAATTTTTGCTTGTATTTGCTCATTTAGGTCATTCTTTAATTCACAGATCATTTTAATTATGAGCCTTCTGAACTCCTTCTCTGACACTTCACCAACTTTGCTGTCTAGGGGTTCCATTTTTGTAGCATCCCGGTTTGTTTGGGGTAATTTCCTCCCTTGTTTTTTTCATGTTGTCTATGTGTCTTCCTTTCTTACAGTGTGGGTCTGAGATATTACAGTTTCTTCCCAATATTCTTTTAGTTCTCATGCAGATTATCTGTGTCTCAGCTTGATGTTGGGCTTCCAGACCCTGCTGGTGTCCCTCAATATATGCTACTGAAACTAAAGCTGGTAGTAGCAATAGCCCAGGGAATTTGAGATTATAGTGGAAGTGACCCAAGATGGATGCAATGTCTTACAGAGATGAAGTTGAAAGAGTGGGTCTCACACTCTCTTTGTGTTGCCTGCTCTGA